ATCAAATCGTTGATGAAACTTTGCAACTGCCATTATAAAATGCTCAATCTGATTACAATGCAATGCTCGACCACAAATAATTTGAACATAATGCCAGCAGTTTATTTATCAATTTGTTTTTTTTTACATAGATTCTACCTGATTTTCTTCATTCATCTTTTTTATCATAATCCATAAAACCTATAACAGCAGATAGCTGCAGATAGATAACTATAATGATGACGAATATACGATATATACGACCAGCTGGATGATTAAGAACATATAGACGGATACCCTGATAATCATGAATATATATACGACTTACCTGGTAATCAAAAATGTATGTAGGAATATCCTGATAATCTAGAATATATATATTCGACAATCCCGATGTTAAGGATAGATACGACTACCATATTGATCAAGAATGCATATATTCGGCTATCCTGACGATTAAGAACATATATACGGCCCCCCTGATTATAAAGAATACCTACATATGAATATTTTAGCTAACCAGAATATGTATACGACTATCCTGTTCATTAAGAATACATACATATATACGACTATTATGATGATTAAGATTATATATACACTATTCTAATGATGAGGAGTATATATTCGATTTTCCTTATGATCAAGAACGCATATACACGGCTATCCTTATGATCAGGATTATATATCCGGCTATCCTGACAATCAAGAATATATATACGGTCACTCTGATTTTGAAGAATTTATATATACGACTATCAGGAATGTAAATACAACTATGCTAAGCATTAAGAAAACATAAATACGACAGTTATGATGATCATGAATGAATATACGACTACCCTGATGACCAAGAATAAATTTATCCTATATATTCTATCCTGACTATCAAAAATATATGCTACCATGATCTTTAAGAATACATATGTATATAGCACTATCCTGATGATCTGGATTATCTGCTATCCTGACTATATACGCCTAGGGAAGTCGTTGATCAAAAAAGGATATATGTATACGCCTAACCTGATGATGGGGAATACGTACATAACACTATCCTTATGATCAAGATTATATGACAATCAATGATGATGAAGAATAGATTTAGTTGACTCAACTGATACTCAAAAATGAATAGATATATGTATATAATAGGCTAATTACCCTGATGATCAAGGATACAAGTATAAAGGAGCTCGCTGACATAAAAGAATATATGATTATATATATACATATAGTTCTGTCGACTGATGTCGCATTGTCACAACACGTTTATAAGTGGCAGCTTTGGACAACCGCTGCACAGTGCATATTTAAGAGATCTGGCCCCACTGTCAAGGCTGATCATTGACTCTCCCAATGGCGTTCATTTAAAATGGTGTCCAAATGAAATTGCTGAAATATTAAAAAGCGCCAGCGGCATTTTGTTTTTCGCGCCACGGGGCGATTAATCATAAAAACAGATTTTAACACGGCCCAGCAGTAGGCAGCGACATGCGTGCATGTGTGTATATGTATGTGTACAAATGTGCATATGTGTGTGCATGCATGTATTTGTGTGTTGTATGCCTCGCATATCTGTGCGTAATGTTCAGTTCGGCTGGGCCTGGACCTGGACCTGGACCTGGGCACATAAAATATGCAAAATATCTTGTAATGTGTTTATCACTGCGTATATTTAGCATACATACACACACACACACACACACAACCACAAAACGACAGTTGGCCACCGCTGAACATTGGCTGGCAATGTTCAATGTGGCATTTAAAGGGCTCTGTCAAAAAAAAGGACCTGATTGCACCGGTATGCGTTTGGCCGGCCTAGCCTCTAGGACCTCTTGCGCTCTGCACACACACACACACACACACACACGCACACCAATAAAATTCATTGAATTAACAAATAGCTTTATGTGCAGTTTTATAAAAATTTGCCAGACGCTTTGCGGATTTCGTTACATTTACCAAACGACACGCCCCACACCGGAAACACCGTCACGCCCCGTTCGACTTAACCAAGCAGAGAAAAACAAACGCCCCGCGGCAGAGTTCAAACCAAAATGGGCCAACGGGTTCGGTAAAGCTCTTAGTGGATTTTCGTTAAAAATTTATAAACACACAAGTCCATGTGTGTGTAAATATATAAATATACATATATACTTATATATATATATGCACAGTTGTTTGCGGTTACATTTTTGCCAGCATTACTTATGTTTTTATATGCATTTACACATTACATTTAGCAACTATTTTTATTAACTGATCGTTACGGAATTTTGTGGATAAATGAATACATTATATTAATACCAAACATAAAGAATTTATGCGTTAAAAATGATGTATTAAATTTATTACGATAACTGACAGCTTTACTACATATAGGAAGCTCATGCTTAAACTAAATTGAGTATACTTAGTACAAGTGAATAACAACAAATTTAGAAGGTTCTCAATTAAGGTAATAAGTTACTTGATATTTATATGGATATGTCACCACTTGCAAAACAATTTTATATCCCATTTTGTTTTTATAGTTCATAAAATAGATAGAAGCTCGGATTCAAAAACTTTTCTACGCATATTTTTTATAACCAAATTGAATGCCAAGCAGCGCATTTGAAACAATTAGTTAAAAGCTTGTTTTGTGAATTTATAAAACTGCTGGCAAAGGTTTATAAATAATAAACAAAATTCTAAGTAACAATCCGTAAGCTTTTCGTAATGCTTTTATTTAATTTCATTTACAGCATGCCAGATATTTCAGTAAGAAAAGTAATTTCTGACTTGAGAAAGCTGTTGTTAGACAAAGGAATAAGCTGCAAATGGCTACAAACAATATTTGACAATAGACTATAGATACATCCTGTTTTCATTTGGTCTCGTAAAACTTTAAGGAAATGCGCATGCTTAACTTTAATGGCAAATCGCATCAAAAGCACACTTTAAGTGGGCAATATGAATATTATCTATACACAATATCAAGGCAACACAAATGCCTTAAATAATAATAATACAGGATGAAACTTTCGATTTGTGCCAGCTGCCACGGGCTGACGAACAAGGAAACTTTCTGGCCACAAAGGACCCAAAGATTTACTCCCACTGTGGGAATGTGGCAGAGTAGAAAAAAAGCCAGAAGCCATAAACTACAATCGAAGGAGACAACAGCAGAATCCTTAAAAAATAAAAATAGGAAGAAAAAAGTCACACAAAATACGAAGAAAAACAAAATATAAATAAATAAATATGTAGAATACATCCATACATATGCAAAAATTGCGAAAGGATTGGCCAAAAGTGAAACACTTTGATATGCATCTAAATGGCATCATCAGCATTGACTGGGGCGCCAAATGCGTCGACAGGGAACAACAAGAAGAAGAATAACAACAACAACAGCAGCACCAGCAGCAGGACAACAACAAGGATCCAAAACTAGGAAAGCAATCAAGAAGCGTGCGATTGAGAGACAAACAAAGGCACAATCCGTAGACGGAGGCAGCAAAAAAACAAAAAAACAACAAGTAGGAGTGCTCAAGTCGGAAGTGTCCGACTAGGGGATACCCTGAACACAGCACCGAGCCACCGTCAACAATATTCTAGCTTCCTTCTACACAAACATAGACATAATCACAAATACACAGCTGGGCTGCTTCTTCACTCAGCTACACAATATGGCAAATGCCTTCGCGATTTACTTTGGAGTTTATTGTCCGATCTACGTGAAATAATTATTTTGCGGGAAGCGGGGCGAGGTATCGAAAATGTAAAATATTCCTTATATATGCATACCATACGAGAGTCTACTTTCTAAGCCTTGTAAATCTACCTCTTACATGCTCCGAGATAGGCTGCAAAAACAAGATTTCAATATCGATTCTAATCGATCTAATGGCAACGGGGCAAGTTATCGATGATCCGAAACAAACAAACCTACCTTCAGTCTCTAGCTCTTATAGGTTCTGAGATCGACCCGCTCATACATACGGACAGGCGGGCGGACAGACGGAGGGGCAAACGGATATGTTTAGATCGACTCGTCTATTGATGCTGACCAAGAAGATATATACTTAATGGGGTCAGAAGGGCTTTCAGTTTCTTCTTCATCTTTCCTGTTCTGCCTGTTTCATACATTTGCACAAAGCCATTATGCTCGTTTTACACATATTCAATGAGTTTAGGGTATAAAAACAACCAGAAAAAGTGCAAATCATTTTGCGGGCGTTACATTTTATTTGGCATCCAAGCCAAAGTCAAGCCGGAAGACCAAAATGGTTGCCAGGATGCACAGTGGTTCAAGGTACATATAAAAAAGGTATAATATCAAAAATGGTATCTATTGATTTTTATTCAATTCGATAAAAACAAACAATTTAAGGATCTCAGTTGGATTTCCGATTAATAAATAATATATAAAGTAAATACAATAACAATTTTAATAATGGTAGTGATAAAAAATGGTATATATGAAATTTGATTTATAAATATAGTAAATACTATATTATATTGAATATCGGGCAGTTTGCCCTCGACACACTTAGACCAAAGTTAAAGTTAACTGACTTTAAATGATGTAAATATTATATTATAAAGGCCCTTGTTGTGCCTATTTATATTTTTTTGATTATATATTTATAAATATTAATATTATAAATTTTGCAAATTTAGTTATTTTCCGATATGCCTTCAATTAGTTCATTATAAATGCAACGAAATCAAATCAGTTTTGGGTTTGCCCGTTTAGTTGTAAATGTCAAATATACATCGGCAGGATAAACTGTCTGTTAAATGTTTACTCGCATGCTAACAAAAAGAAAACAAGAGACAATAGAAACCAAGAAAGACCTTTAGCAACAATTTAAATATGCTCCGATTAAAACCAATTGATTGAATATATTTCAAGAATTTATTTAATAAATATGAATAATTTAGGTTGAAAAAAAAAATGGTAAAAAAATGTCTTAAATATGGTAAGCAGCTGCGTCTCACTGTGCGACAATATGATTTCTCCATACTCATATATTTGGCTTTGACTCTGGTGATTTGGTGGCCTTATAACGTACGCGGGTGGGCGGCACCGTTGTGGGGGGGCCGTGCTCGACTGTTGGGGCGGAGATACAAACAGATAGGCGCTGTAAATGATGATGATAATTTAAGTTGAAGCTGGAAACTTACTCCGGTAGACGTTATAGCCACGCTCATCGGCAATGTAGTAAAGCGTCTGGATCTGCGGCTTCTGTCCCGCCACGGGCACCGAATTGTAGCCCTCCTGCACATTGATCAGTTTGTCGCCCACACGCTTCGAGTACAGCTTCATGTAGTTGACCAGGCCATTGCTGAGCACCAATCTGCGGATGGGAGTGAGTTTATTGAGATTGCAACAGATGGGCCAGGTGACCGGGCTCAGTGTCTGGGGGCGCACTTACTTGTGCTCCTCGGTGCCGTTGGCGTGCTTGATGCGATAGTTTTCCAGCACATAAACTGGCTGCGGTTCGTCGGGTCCTGCAGTTGTCTTGCGCGTTGTTGTCGTCGACGATGCCAGCGGTCGTGTTGTTGTGCTTGAGGCGTTCTCTGCTGGTTGCAACTCATCAAAGAAATAATCAAAATTTTCCTCTTCAAAATCCATTTGCGGAAATACGACCAATTGATCCTCATATAAGGGCAACTGTGAAGGTGTCGATGATGCTGGTGTTGGAGTTGTGGTTGTTGATGTTGTTGTTGTTATTGTTGTTGGCGTTGGTGTTGGAGTTGTGGTTGTCGTTGTTGCTGCTGTTGTCGTCCCCGCTGTTGTCGTCCCCGCTGTTGTACTGGTGGTTGTGCTGCCAATGTCATGCCCAACCTCAATATCTGAGGGCCAAACAACCAATTGTAATTCATAAAGGGGCTGATTGCTGCTGCTGCTGCTGCTGCTGCTGCCAGACATTGAATTTCGCAGGACACTCGCCGGCTCCAGCTTGTGGTGCTCGTCCTGTGCCTGTTCCTCGTGGTCGTGCTCGTGGTCCGCATTCTCATCCGCATCCGCTGGCTTATTAGTGCTGCTGCTGTGCAGCACGTTGCAGCCATTGTCCTGCATCTGCTGTTGCCCTAACGAGTCCATTGTCGCATCGAAAGTCAATTTGCAGTCAATGCGATGCGACTGCGACGGCGACGGCGACTGCGGCTGCTCCTCCTCAAGTGTCGTTTCAATGGTGGTCAGCTCCCGTTCCTGTTCCTGCTCCTGTTGCCCGCTGGCCAATGCGGCTGTTGTTGGCATTGGCGTTGCCCGGGCACAAATCACGACCAGCAGGAGGATTAGTGACAGCAGCGGCAGAGCGCCTTCGCGCCACATATATGATGTCATATCTGGCTGAAATTGCGTGGGGACTTGAGGGCTTCGATTCTCTCGCTCTCTCCCTGCGTTTCTTGCTGTTGTGTTGTTGCTCGGCCCGTCCAGCTTCTTATATTTATACCCAGAATTCTGGCGCTGCCGCCATTCCTGACTGCGGCAGCGACAGCGACAGCGACGCTGGCGTCGACTTAATCAACAGCTTTTTTGAAAACACAACCAAATTATTTGTAACTTTACCGTTATGCGTCAAGAACGAGAACAACAAAAATATCAGTAATAAACAGCATTCAGCAAAGCGAAGAAGCAGAGAGAAAAAATATGCGCCAGAAACAATAAATGCAGTCAGGCAGAACACGATGACGATGCTGAATAAAAATCGAGGGAAAGAGATAGAAATAGCAGAGCAGTACGCCATATATGCTGAAGGCGAAGACAAAGCGTGGGTAAGAGATAGAAACAGCAACGCCGTGCGCAGGCGAATCGAATCGGTTCAAGCTCAATATCGCAATTGATTGTTTTGCTGTGAGCTTAAGCCCGAACCAAACCTGTTCAAAAAAAAACAACAGGTTTGCTTAAAAAACTGAACCGAAAGAAAATTGTGAACGAAGCGCTAAGGATAGTTTTTGGATATTGACTTTAATTATGTAAAGCTAAGTAAATAAATCTAATAACCTGAATTATTTAATTAAAATTTAGAGAATGAAAAGAACCAAGGCTCGAACCAAAACCTTAGCTCATGTAGGACAAAAAACAGGTTTGAGAGCCGAGTTCCACCCTGAATCGAACCAAATAAATATTTTTTGGACTGTCAGACGGAATGGACACACTCATTATATATACTCTTTTCACAGTCGCAGTCGTAGAGAAGTAGATGATGCATTTGCTACGCACACACTTTACGACTTTAGCAATCAACACAATTGAACAATAAAAACTTCCAAAAACACCATCTATTATCTTGAAGTTTATTATGCTTTAAAAAGTGTCTTGAAGACTGCCAAAAAACGGGGATGCGTCTTTTCGGCAATTCTAAAAACAAAATACCAAACTAACTTTTAAGCAATATTATTTAAACAACAAAATTTTTCCATCAACATTGTTGAAGGTTAGCTCTCTTTTGACATAAAGAGCGACGACCTTAATTAACTGCAGGTCCGCAAGCCCAAAAAAACATTCGTTTCATGGTTCGAGCTAGCAACCTACCTTTAATTAATTTTCCACAACCTTGAAGCCAGTTCAAGCCCTGCTTACTTCAATTTTTTGAAAATTTTAATTACACAATTTAATTTCTATTTATACTCGAGATACGAGCTAAAATGGATCTCTAGCTAAAATTTGCATCTACCAAATATGGTTATATAAATGCTGTGGTTGGGGACAAAGTAATTTATCTTACGCTTTCAGAAAAGTTTTAAACTTTTAAAGCTTATGAGCAATTATTCATCGCAGGTGATGCAGCTTGCACTTTGCACAAAAAGGATATATGTGTTTTTGGGTAGTGCTCAGGTAATCGCTTTAGTAACTTGCCAGTCATGCTCTGGCGCCCTAACATTAGCTCGACTATCCTGCTGAGTTGGGTTAACTGTCATTCATTTGAGCGATCTTTCGTCTCAATATTGAAATATAGCTTGCTCTTTCGCTCTGCCTGTTTGCCCCTGGTCTTGCACTTGTCATTCTTGTCCCTGCACTTTCCATTCCTTTGGTCATTTGGCTCCAACATCATTTATAATAAGATTTTCATGCTGGACAGGCAGCTCCAGCACCAGCGACAGCGACGGCAACTGCGACGGCGACGGCGACGGCAACGGCAGCGGCTTCGGAGCAACCATTAACGAAACGCTGAATTCGACGGCGCTGCCCGCTGCCTGCGCCACTGAGCTTTTGTTATTGTTATTGCATTTCTTTTTGCATTTTTTTTAACGAAACGCTGCTGTCGACATCGCACTGTGGGGCGTCACACGAAAGCACGTGGCGAAAATGAAGCAGGCGTAATTAAGATATAATTAACTGTAAACAGATATTGTCTGAAGAGTTATTGCGAGCCGCTTAAATTGGCGTGTGAAATTGTATATATATTATGGTATATATAAAACATCTTACATACAGGGTAACTTTTAGTTGCGTTCTCTTAAACTTTAATATTTTATTATAAATAAATGTGACTCAGTTTTTTAGCGAATGTATTTTGAAGCAATTTTATGCCGTTTTTTCTTCAGTAAGTTCTGTAAAAAATTAATGTTTTGTGGCATTTTTGACAGCTGTTAATTATTATTAACAATTTAATCATGTCTTACATAGGTTAAAAAGTCACATCTCTGAACCCAGGTTTTGGCTTATATAAAAAAATGCATTTATTTTAGAATTTTCAAAAAGGCAATCGTTCCATTGGACCTTGGTTCGTCACATTATTTCATAGTTTAAATAAAAAAATTAAATATTTTTAGATTATTCAAAGAGGCAAAAAAAAATGTTCCTCAGGTTCGCAGAAGTTGTTCATTTCAATGTTAACTGTATTTAAATGAATTTAAATTAACATTTATTAGTCTTGCAGCAAGAACTGTGCAATGGTTCCACTGTGCGACGTCGCTGCCTGCCGCCTGTGCAGCTTAGCTTTTTTTATTGTTATTGCATTTCTTATTGCATGCTGTTGCTGTTGTTGCTGTTGCAGTTGTTGTTGTTGTTGTTGTTGTTGTTATATGCCATAAAATATATTTTATGTTGAAAAGTATTTTTAAACTTGACTCTTGTGCCAATTTTGGTAGATGCATTTGTATTAGGGCGCATATGTGTATCCAAACATATATTTGACTTATTGCGACTGGCTCGATATATGTATGTATGTATGTATATGTATGTGCCATATACATACAAATCAGGCGAAATGCTTAGCTAGGGCTTTGTCTTGCAATTTTGCTGGGCAGCAGCTGGTACACATAATATTTGTGCATACAAATTAAATTTTTAACAGGAGCCAAACACAAAATGCGACTTTAATGTGCAATTTGTCAAAAGTTATTTGATTTATGAGCTCGGCAGCGGCAACAGCACAAATAACAAGAACAACAATCGCCCAACTGTCAAACAAACCAAAAACAACAAACAAACTTGCCAAACGCCCAGTCCCAATTGTGTGCCAGGTTCCGTTTGGCAGCCCCTGCTCCACGCCCTACCCATGGCCCATTCCCCATGCCCCATGCCCAGTCACATTCACAGCCACAATCGCATTCCCAATCCCAATCCCAAACACTTCTGCTGCCCAACTTGGCTGCTAATCGTCCAGAGCATCGAACTTTAAAGCACAACAAATTGAAATCCTCACCCACAAAATTGTTCCTGTTTACGTCACCAGCTTCTGTCTAGCAATACGAGTTTTCAGGAGTGAGATGAAAAAAAAATGCTGCCAATTTCTCGCCGGGATGGATGCGGACATGGCATTGACTCCGCCTTTTCGTGTGCTTGCGTCCTGGCCAGTCACTTGATTTGGCGTAATCTAATTTGTAGCAACCGGGTCCAGGGCTTTAATCATGCCGGGGAGTCAGCCTCAAAGGGAGTCAGTCGTAAGAAAATCAGTGAGCACTTAATTCCATTTACATATTTGAATTAAATTCTAATTAAGTTCTAGCTCGATTCGCACAAACGGCTAGACATTTTCTTTAGCTATATGGCTTCATACAATGCTGGAAAATGAATAGCATACAGTTGTTTAAATGAAAATCCGTCGAACAATTGATTTTAAATGAGCAGCACATGTAATTTTACACAAACAGCAGCGTGCGTGTGTGCGTGTGTGCGTGTGTGCGTGTGCTTCCGGTATGCTGATTTTGTAATGCGCATTTTCACCACCTTCCGCAATGCCTTCCCAACTGCTGCAAAGTCATGTCAAGCTGCGGTTTTACAAATTTCAGCCGCAAGTGTGGAAAATGAATGGAAAACGTTTATATGAAACTATTTGGTTGTTCATGCGATCGAATTTAAATGTGTTTCGTAAAATGTTTCACACTTTTCGGCAAATCCACCTTAACGTTCTGGTCAATTGATTGTTGGTATAGCTGTCTAAATTAAAATTGGATGTCGGCGGCATTTAAGATAACTAGCTGCGTAAGTAAGTTTACATTATGATGCCCATGACATCAGAGGCTGTATACCTGTTCGATTTGACACACTTTGAATGCATATTAATTGAATTGCAACTGGTTCCAGGCCCATAAAGAACTTAAAATAAAAATTCGTATGCTCCGGAGCAGCCAAAAAGCCATCGTTGCAGCCCATATAAAAGACTTGGCACATTTCGGCAATCAGACAGAACTGGCAAGGCACCAAACATGAGAAGCTATCTGGGTTTCATACTGCTAATCAGCGCTGCGGCTGCGGAGACATCCGATAAGATGACAACGACAAGGACAACGACCACGACAGCCAGGCCGGAGCAGCGCAACAAACGCCAGCTGGTAGCTGTAAGTGGCCAAGATGAGGAGTAGAGCATCAAATTAATAGCATAGCATACCATATTTAAACAGCACAATGCCGGCATCGGTATACCCATCTACTTTGACAACTTCAATGCGAATCCGCCGCTGGAGCCCATCAAGCCGGCGCAGCCCGTTGGAGTGGGGGGCAACACGGCGGGCGTGCAGCCAACTGGCTTTCTGCCTGGGTTTCCGCAGAATATACCCATTGTGGGCACGCTGTTGACCAATTTGCCGCTCCAGAACCTGCTCGCCGGCTTTAATCTGGGCAACCTGGGCCAGCTGGGCGGCCTCGGTAATTTGTTTAATGTGGGCCAACTTGGCAATCTGCCCAGCTTGGGCGGCACCAAGCCGGGCGGTGCTGGCGGCACTGGCGGCACGCCCCCACAAACATGCCCGCTCACCCAGAAGCTGAGCTGCCGCTGCGAGCCGTTGTTCTCGCTGCCGGTGCGCCAGCCGGAAACGCAGCTGGTGCAGATCCTCAAGCAGAATGTGCGCCACAACGAGGACGGCACGCAAGAACTGCGCCTGGTTATTAGCAACGGACACGTTATCTACCATCGCAACGACAAGGATGCCAGCAAACAGCTGGGCTACTATGCGCTGCCCATCCAAACCGGGCACTATCTGAACATTCACTATAGCATCAATCAGACCAACTACACGATCAAGGCCGATGTGGGCAGCTCGCCGCCCGATTCAGATTTCGAAGCCTATTGAAAATAAACGATGCGAACCGTAAACCGTTTCGCTTATCGGTTCACGTCTAGACATACTTATCCGTGAATACCATTTTTTTTCTTAGCCTTTATTTTGCCAGCAATAAACTATTTTATACAGAGCCAAGTTTGTTGCAGTCGGAGACAGCCAAGACAAGGTCTGAAGCCAGGCATAAGGTATCTTCAGCTGTGACTGCTTTGTCATATAATACTAATTTGTATTCTTAATCGTTTATCAGTTAGGATATATCTTTAAGTGGCCACAATACCCTACAATTTTTGTGAAACAAGTGCATACAAAAATTTCAAGTCTTTCTCCTGCGTGCACAAAACCAATATGCTCTGCTTCACTATTGGAATAGAGTATAAAACATTGCGCTCTTTCTACTCTCTTTATATCTGATCTCTATTCGATTTCGGAATATTTCGGCAATATCTGCAATAAATATGAATAATTCAAGATTTTATTTAATTTTCCTACTTACAATCAAGAATATTTCGATTCGCTTTAAAATAAAGCCAGAATTTTGTTATTGCTATTCGGTAGCTGGCAATTCGATTTCATTAATTGCACTTCCTAATTAGCATTCAATTTGGGGAACATTTTCGCGAAAACACAAGCAAGAATTACATCGTGTTGCGCAACAAGTTGGATTCGCTGGCATGGCAATTGTGTCGGAGGAAAAACATTTTCCCAATGCTCTCAATTAGCGGATGGCAAATGGAAATCAAGCTGCAATTGCAATGCCAACTTCGAGTCGAGCGGAAGCGAACGGAGACAACAAGGATGACAACTTTTGCAGGCAGCTATTTGACAGGATGCCCCTCGAAACGCAAATTGCCACCGTTGTGCAACAGTTGACAGCATGGCAACCCTTTTTCGAATCCCTCGATTCCGCTTGAAAAATGTTTAGCCAAGCGGAAAAATACGTAAAGCAACGCTTAACCAAAGGGAAAACCTCGAACTTGTATTGTGGCCGCCAATTTCATACTCTCACCCGAAATATTCACTGCATATTTCCTGCAATTGAACCAGCTACCTTACTTGATATAGTTAAACATTGCAAAATATTTCTGTAGAGCTTTTAAATATGTTTCTATTGCCTCAGTCTCAAGCAATCAAGCAGAACGACAAGGCCAACAAATAATTTTGCTGGTTCGGTGCATGGTTTGAACCGATGTCCTCTCGCTTTATGTTGCGATTCGTCAACTGGATTATCTACTTATATAAGACTAAATTTCTTATAAAATAAATGTATTATTAAAATATATTAACATGCAAATCATATTAACGTATCAAAAATTTGATTCGTTTGAGGTTAGCAATCGTCTTTTTTATCCAACTTATCCGGTGTAAGGTTTATTCTCAAGTAAAAAACTGACAAACCGGGCTCAAACCGGTTCAGCTCTAGGCCGGCATCAATAAGTACCTCACAATTGCGTTACAAATCGTTTGTACCACTGCAGGGTATTAAAGTTTGCTAAATGAAATACTAACAATCGAAATATTCTTAATAAATAATTTAAGCAACAAAAACAATTACTGTCATCTTTTAATCAGACCAGATTTAATCACATCAGCATCTTAAATGGGCTTAAAATTGTCGTATCCAAACTACAATTTCCAAGACCAAATTTTGCCTATGTGTTTCATTAAAGGTTTTTGGATTCTTGTCTTGAAGAGAAAGCGAATATATGCTTAAAAATGTTATATTTAAGCAAAATAAAAATTAACTTTATTTCACATATGAAACGGGCTATCAAAAAAAAGGCGAGCTGAGCAGATTGCAAGTTAATTAAGCTTAAAGCCGACTTAAAAAGTGCCATATAATGCAATCATGTATATAAGTATAATGCATATAATGCAGTCAGATGTACGTTTGAGAAGCTCACTTAAAGTTTTTGAACTGTGTTTACTTTTTAAAGCCTACTTATGAATGTGGATTAACAGAAATCGCCTGGCCAGCTACCATAATGCAATTCAAATGTTCATCTTGTCAGGCAGTTGGAGCAAACTTTACCCAAAATGCGCCAGTTTGTCGGACCGTCAGGCCGTCGGACCGTCAGATTTTCAGTTGCAGGCAGCTGCAGCACAAGCCATTGGCTGGCGACAATTGCGGCAAGCACAACAATTGAAATCGCATCGTTTTCCCAGTGAATTGCTTTAAGCAATGGCAGGCACAGTCCGCCTTGGAATGGGCTGTGGGTCGGCGGGCGAAATGGCATTTAATAGTCGCATTCCAGAGCAAAACCCTAACCCCAGCCGGAGCCAAGCCGTCTAACTTTAAACAGGGCCAACAGCAGCATCTTTAAGTGCTGCCGATTGGCAGAACGCGTCATTAGTTTGTCTGAATGCTGCTGCTGCTGCTGCTGCTGCTGCTGCTGCTGCCGCTGCTGCTGCTGCTGCTGTTGCTTTTGCATTTGTTTGTATTACCCGACTGCAGCAGCTGAAGCTTGTTCAGCATCCATTTGCAGCTATGCCATACGGCTGGCGCAACCACAGACCCATGTGAGTGACCCCGTGCACGGCAGTGTTGCTAGATTGACCGCGTGCGGTCCCTGCCAGCCGGAAAAACAACAGTCACTTACCCACACACACACACAGAAACACACAAGCACACGCACACAGGTACACCCCTCACAGCTGGCCAGGCCCGAGCACCACCAAAACTGCCGCATTGTGTGGCCGAAGCGTAACCGCGACTGGCGCGTTGCCTCTAACGGATGTGAATTGAGAGCGGAAAGCGTCACAGGTAGCCTAGTTACACACACACACACTCACACTCACACGAACACGACAGTGGTCTTTAAATTAAATACTCTCCAATTTTCTGGCAACGAAATAGATTCTTTGATCAGGCGCCACAAATCAAAGAACTCGCCCATTTATTGCACAGCTTTTCATAATATGCAACACTTTTTATACACAATCTCCCTTTTTTTTTTCAACGGACGAACAGCTGTTCGCCTTGTCCTGCAGGACATGCACGACCACACGCGCGGCTCCACTGTACCCCCCCCCCCTCCGCTTCCAATCCGGAACGCCCCCCATATAGTTGTAAATTGTCGAAATCGCAAACAAAAGCTGCAATTGTTGAAACCAAAACAACAAAATACGAGCAAAAAAATAAGCAGCGGCGTTCTGGTTAGGGTTGCCCGACTAAGCGATGCCCTGTATTCAATATTATAAAGTACATAAAAAAAAAAAAGTATACACCTAGACACTTCTTCTTTTTGTTCTCCCTTTCATTATCGTAAATAACATCTGTAGAAAATGTCAAGAAATAAACAAATGTATTTTCTAGTTCGGTTCAGGACTTAAACTAATGTGCCACGCCTTTGGGCTGGCTTCGTGAGCCTGGTTTTCCACATAATTGTACCTATAACATATTTTGATTTAAACCTTTATTCGTCTTAGTTTATCAATTTTTTATTGAATAATATTTAACTATTTAATTTGATTGGAAAAAAAATATATTGAAATAGGTTTTGGGAAGACAAAGAAAACAAAATGACAAATATAAAATTATATTATATTATAAAATAATATTTCTTATATATGTAAGGTCCAAGATATAAGATTCAGCTATACGTCTGATCAAAAAAAATATCCAAAGAGCCTAGTCAATTTTTCTTTCTTGTTTTCTAAATGCCAAATAGGGTTTGGTAATGGTATGGTAACAAAATAAATTCCGCGCGCGAAGCGAACCCATTCTCAGTGCGGTGCACAGGGTATCAACAAAACAAAAAATCCGATGAAGTGCTACAGAATCAAACGCAAACGCAGCAACCACTAAATAAGTGGAGTACGCGAAGAGACGATGCAACAAAAAAAGTAAATAAAGGATCAACATGGCTTGAATTGCACCCTACTAAATAGTCGCGAATTTCTGAGTACCTCAAAAAAAAAATATGATTAAGTAATAGGAATAAAGAAACTGCTTGTGCCTATAGTCATTTTTAATATGCCTAGCATTACCCGGCATTGGGCGAGCCAAGTTGTTATTTATAAAATTTATCATATGAATCACTAAATCGTTTTCCGCCGGTTCGAACCGGTTTTTGTGGCACATTAAAATACAATTGAAATGAGCCAACTTTTCGCACCAATAGCATCTTGGACGTAGGAGATGCAAGTGTCGCTACCTAGCCGAGTTCACAGTTGCTGAGTTTAGCCCACTTTTCGTGCAGTTTTCACCCAAAATAAAATAAACAGCAAATAATTCATTTGGCCGGATTGTGTTGATCTTTTCCTCTCGGCCAGAAACGTGTAAGGCTTTAGTAAAGTTATCATTTTTTTTTTATTTTGGGCTCGTTCGATACGCAATCACGGTACCGTCACTAGGCTAGGCTGGAGCTGGAGCTGGTGCTGGGGCTGGGCTGCGGCTGGGGCTGGGGGTGCGTTATCTAGCCACACGAGCTGATAAGAGCGCGGCAATAGGTGCGGCAACACGGTAAGCGCAAATGGCTTTTAGCCGTAGTTGGACGACGACAGACATCGCACGCAATGTCAGGTGAGTGGTGCAGCGATGCGGTGCAGCGAACTGTTGATTGATGTCTAAATTCAACCGTACAGAACACACCTGGAGGCATTACAGTCATGGCAGCGTGCCGCCCAACGCCGTGGTTGCCGGCCATGACTCGGACGGGGATACCATTTACATTGGGCGCGCCTTCTACTGCAACGACCTGCTGCCGGCCAAGGTGATACCGAACAAGGGCAAGGCCTATGTGGCGTATGCGTGCCAGGAGGTGGAGCTGGACAGCTATGAGGTGCTCAGCGGCCACAATTACGAGTGGCTGCCAGCCGAGAACGGCGCTGTGCCGCCCAGCGCCGTCAAAGTGGGTCGCAATGTTGATGGTGAGGATCTGTATGCTGGTCGCGGCTATCATGCCGGCAGCCTGACCGTGGGCAAGGTCCATCCCTCGCACGGCTGCCTGTATATACCCTATGACTCCGATGAGGTGAAGATCTTTGCGTACGAGGTGCTCTCACAGCCGGAGCGCTGGATCGACACGACCGCCTCGAACATACCCCAGGGCGCAGTTCTGGGTGGCCACGACTCCAACGGCGATGCCATCTATGTGGGTCGCGTCTTTCGCAATGGCGATCTGCTGCCCGCCAAGGTGGTGCCGTCCAAGGGTACCGCCTATGCTGCCTACGCCCAGGCCGAGCACGAGGTGACCGATGTGCAGGTGCTCGTCGGCGCCGGATTCCATTGGATACCCGCCTCCCATGGCAATGTGCTACCCAATGCGGTGGCCTCCGGTCCCAATGTCGACGGCGAAACGCTTTATGTGGGCCGCGCCAATTATTGTGAAAGTCTAACCGTTGGCAAGATCCATCCCTCGCACGGCTGCATCTACATACCCTTTGGCGGCGAGGAGGTCAAATTGGAGTTCTACGAGGTCCTAGTACGCACATAGACGCTAAACATACATACATACATAATTGTAAAAAAAAAAGTACACATTCTATGACACGACTATAAAAATCGATTAGCCCTGGGCTGAGGAACATGGAATTCAGTTTATCGACACCTTTTATCTAGGGTTCCATAAATTACCACAGAAACTATTAATTTAAGTACGGCAACTTCTGACTGCGGTTTATAACCAATATTGATAAGACCCATTGGCTTTATGGGCGTACATAGTATGTCAGGCATAAAAGCACAACAATTATCAGATAATTAAAAATTGGTTTGTCATGCACTAAGAGTGCGGCTTGTTCGTGTACGTACAATTGCTTTTGAATTGTTTATTAAATTATCTTTAAGTGGTAATTCAATTGGATTTTTTGCATTAATACAATTTTCCATTACCTGAAAAAGAATTTCAAATTATGGTGCGCCGTCTGTTGCCAGTTTCGAGAACTATTGTTGTCGCGCCATCTCTTGTCATTGTGAAAGAGTTTCCAATAAAGGGCACTGGCAGCGCTGTTAGCAGACTGTTTTTATCGATAGTTTGGTGCACACAGCTGGTTTTAAATTCTTAGCGCGCAATGCCTATAAATGCATATGACTACCGCTAACGAAATACATTGAAATAACAACTTTCTGTTAAACCATATTAGTAAAAACAATCCAAATTAATAACAAAGATGTTGTGTAAAATTGCGAAAATAAAAGTGCAAGGCTGCCACCTGGCGGCACATAGTAATCAGCTGTCGATGCTAACAAGTAGTCGATAGTTAATCGTTTAGCGTTCACATTTGGCATGCTATCGATTGCTTGCGTATTTATTCAGTAGATTTTTTGCGGCTCCAAAAGTCGGACGTGCTCGTGGTTATTTATTTTATTTTTTTATAAATGCCAAACACTTGCAAACAGAAAATACGTGTGCTGCATTTGTTTATAAGTGAGCGTACAATGTATGCGAATGCAACTGTATAAGTAATTGAGTTCGATTGAATACCAAAGGGAAAACCTACAACAACAACAAGAACCAGTGACAACACACGACTCCAACAACAACTCTTCTACTACAGCTCAACACATTTAACTCCTCTGCGCCTTTTGACACGACAACAAAGCAACAACACGACAACACAGCTCAACTGTTGTGTTGGTGCTCGCATTTGTTATTGTTGTCGTTTTGCTGCTGTTCCAGGAAGACATATAATCCAGCGAACAACTCACAATTAAATGAGACAGCAACCCGCACGAGTAAATATTAATTTAATATTAATTTGTAGCATTTAAGTGGTATTTCTATTCGCTCATCTATTAGCAATAATAACAGCGGCGGCAGCAGCGCCGCCGGCAGAGCCAGGGGCAGCGCCAATGGCAGCGGCACTGCCACTAACCATAAAAATTAACATACAACTTAAATTTAACTTAAAATCCCAACGACAATGCGTCGCCATCGCAAATGCGTTTGATGCGGGAACATCAGCAAATGCGGTGCTGGCTGCGGCTGTGCGACTGCAGGGGTGAACCTAGCCCAAGCACTGTCGCGGCGGCGGCATTAGCAAGGCAACGTCAGCGCGCAAAAGTTCTAACCAAGTTCTCTGCTGCTGCTGCCGCCGTTGTTGTTGGTGATGTCGTCTTCTTCTCGTCGTCTATTTGTGCCTACAGCCAATGTTGCCAATTTGTCGATTTTACCGCCGTATCTAGCTATTTTACAAACTTAAGCTATTAAAAATGTTTCTCAAAACTTTTTCAAACTTTTGAGTAACTTGGATCTTCAAAGTAATAATTTTTTTAGCGACCGCTGTAAGATATTTTGTGTTGAATGATACCGACAGATTTGTTAGGTAGTTCTTAAATTTACTTTGTTATTTTTTCATTAAATATATCCAAATTTTATTGCAAACCTTAACCAAATTCGCAATCTCTTTTTTGTATAACAGTCGTAGCTGTTATAACAATCTCCCAAAACCTTAAGAGTTTTTTGAGGTGAACGCTTTTATTGTGCTTTCTTTTATAACAGTTATCACACTCTTCAAAAGTTCATAGTAACTTAGATTGCGTTTCATTTGTATTGCATTCCAGTTTAACAGTCGTAAGAATATTACTTATAGTTTACTCTAAAGAATAGTTTAATTTTACAAAGTTGACAACACTGTACTACATAATTGATTCTTTCTCGCATAACGATTATAACAGTTAGCCTTCCTATTATGCACTCCAATGTTGATAGGACTGTACTTTCATTGTTCCCTTCTTAATTTTCGCTTAAAATTAGTTACTTTTTAAAAGTTGACAACACTTACTGTTTGCACCTGTATAAAAAGAGCAGAAGTGTACTATGTAATTAATACTTGCTCACATAACTATTATAAAAGTTAGTCTCTCCATTATTTATTTCAAAGTTGATGGCCCTGTATAATTTTTAATAACATATAAAACTTTTTCCGGTATTAATTTTCCCTAGTTTACTTTTCAGAAGTTGACAGCACTTACTATTGGCACATGTATCACAGGGGCAGAATTGTACAACAGTATTTAAACTTCTTCGCAGAACATGAATAACACTTTGCCTTCTAATTATTTATTCGAAAGTTTATAGCATACTTTTTCATAGCAATTATGGCACTTCGCATTCTTTTGAATATTTTCTAAAAACTAGATTTATTTGCAAAAGTTGGCAGCCATACAACACAATTTGCACCTGCTTGTATAATAGTTCTGGCTGTTTTTTGCTTTAAAAACTTTAGCTATTTTTTCGGAAAGTTGGCAAAACTGGCTCGCCTGCAGCGGCATAATGAGTTTATTTATTTCAAACGTGTGTGTTGTGCGGTAATTTGAAGAGTTGATGGCGCTTGATTTGCTCGGCACCCAGCGACGACCCTTTGCCGAGGTAGCTCCCCCGCTGCCAATGCCCATTGCCAGGGGCAACAGTTGTGCCTTATTTAGTTAAAGTTTATTGCACTATTCGCTATCGCGCAACAGTCACATGGGTCCTTCAAGTGGCTACTCCACTGCAGTCGTCCTCTGCATCCTGTCAACGTCAGCTCTTCAATATCTGCCTCGCAGGCTGCGTCACAACTGGGATTGTCATCGTCCAAAAACAATTAGTCCTCCCGAAAACAGACAAAAGCTTTAAAAGTTCGGGGGCGCCAGGGCTGGGACTACGTGAACTTCAAGCTTTGGCACCAACTGCCTCGCTGCAAGTGAATTTGCCACTACATCTGCATGTCGTGCCTTCGTGTCCGTCTGTGCAACAATTTCGTTGCGTGACCTACTCTGTTCACAAATGCCAAATAGGGTATATACTCAACCACTATGGTATTATACTGTATGTCCCCGAAATAAAAATGTATGCTATTTTTGATTCAATACAATAAACAAACACAAAAAAAAAAAAAAAAAAAAAAATGTTTATCCCCGCTACAAATCAAACCCAAAGTATTTCAGCTTCAGCCACTTTCGTACTCGAGAACCAAATAACGCCGACAGTTTTAGAGCCAAACAAATTATGATAGTACATTTTTAATAAATTGTTCACCCGCCACGTTAAGATCTATAGCACAGTTATAAAGTCACTGCCTTTGCGTTACAGTTTAAGAGGCAGAAGGACTGTGTACAGAGTATTGTGCAGTCGGCAAATGATGAACGCAACGCTTACTCGTTTTATTTATGTACATATTTCAGTTGGCACTTGTTATATTTATACTCGGAAGCATGTGGCATGCGGCATGCGGCATGTGCAGTATCGCTTCATCCTCGTCTTTGAACAGACGAACGAACATTTCCATCTCCCAAATGAAATTAGGCTGCAGCCCGACAGACGAGAGTCGGCTCGCACTGAATAACTCAATAAGTCTGCTTATTGCCATGCAAATTAAATGTCCAACTGCACGAGAAGAAAACACACACAAATATATATCTACAGTGAAGTCTGCCTATTGCGAAAACCCACTCAGAATAATGTCCTCTTATATTATATTACAAAAACAATAAAAACGAGCTTTTCTTCTAAGTTGACGATAAATCGAAATAGAGGAAAAGTTTTCTAAAAAGTAGCAAATTGTCGATTGTTGCCAGTGCCGTCCGTGAGTGGAGATTTCACTGTAAACACTTTTAGCTGCCTAAGCTCATCATAATTCCTACTCGCCACTTGTTTAAGCTTCAATTGAATTTCGCAACGAACTCTGTTAAAACGGCTTTATTTGTACTCCCGTAATATTGCACTGCAAAGAGCACGTACTGCCCATATCTCGCATATCGATGGTTTTACGGAGAAACTGTGACTTAATTTATACTTTTTTTTTCCTTATTTTCCCCCGCCGTAGATGTTTTTCATGTTAACATAGATTGTATTTCAATGGTGTTCAATGGTTATTATTCGGAGCTTTACGCCTTTTTGCTTGCATCCACATGCTGCCCTTAAAAAACCTTTAAGCGTTATTAACAATCCGCATAAATAAACAGAGCAATTCATAGTGTTATGCCTGCCAGCAACGTATCGATTTATGTGTAAAATAAAATCAAAATATCTCTTCTCAATATAAGCTTGTAGTTCTTTCCGACTGACTAGCTGAACTGAGCTAACAGTAAAGCTATGTTGGGAATATTTGGTTTGCTATATCATATATAAATATCTATCAATGATATTGATATTTTGATTCGAGTTCCTTTGAGAATATTTATCAAATTTATTCTGTAAAATGGTTTTTTTTTTTATTCTAAGCTTAGCAAAGCTCGCTTGACTGCGTTAATTTAAAATTGTGGTGGACGATGCTTTCCTCGATTTTTTCCAAAAAGAAAATTGCGCCACGAAAGAGAACTTTTCCGAAGCATCCTTGTCCCCTTCAGATATTTACATTATGCCAATGGAATAATTAATTAAGTAATTAGCAGAGGTCGCTTCCGGGTGTGTCTGAGATTTGCATTATTGGTTTTTCCCTTTTTATGTGTTTTCCATTTTACAACTCAGGCACGATTAGGCTATATAGATTTTTGAGTGGAATTGCTGAAGGTCTGCTCCAATAATATCCACACGAGATAGTTGAGCTCAATTTGCGGTCAGCTTGACTGGAAATCATAGGGTATGATAACTGTGTCAGGAAATTGAAGTTAATTTAATTAATATCTTATTCCTGGATCAGTTAGGGAATATAAATGATTTAGTCTGTCGGATTGTCAGATATATAGGAACATATTGTACACAGTTGAGCTCTTGTAGAGAGTAATTCTTGTAGTTCTTGAAGATCGTTTGACTAAACTGACTAACTTATACAGCATAGAAGCAATAAGAGCCCTTGACACGATTATATTAAAGATATGTATTCACTGGGTCATGTATATGTACATGCAAATATCCATCCTTTACAATACGCACAACCTTGACCTTTTTCAACAGAATAATTCAGCTGCGCCAGCTAATTGACTGCCACGTAAAGCGAGTTAATAGTTCCAAGTATCACGCATTTTCATTCATGTATGCCTGCGCATTTAAAATATATATATAAAAACGAGAAAGAAGTGCTATCTTCGGCACGCCGAAGATTTAATACCCTTGCAGACCCAACCTTTTCAAAATGCTCATAGTGCTTTGCCCGTATCTAAGAAGCACAGGGAAAATAGTTAATGCCGAGTATGGTTAAGATATTTTGAAAAACAAAACAGGACTCCATACAACAACTTAATTTTAGACCGATCGTTCCTATGGCAGCTATATGATATAGTTGTCCGATCTTAAAAGGATTTTGCATATATATGGGGAGCGTAGTAAAACTAATAAATACCGAGTTTAGTCAAGATATCTTGAAAAACATAAAAATTTTCCATACAAAAACTTAATTTTAGACCGATCTTTCCTATGGCAGCTATATGATATAGTTGTCCGATCTTAATAGGATTTTGCATATATATGGGGAGCGTAGCAAAAACTAATAAATATCGAGTTTAGTCAAGATAACTTTATAAACAAAAATGTTTTTCATACAAGAACCTACTTTTCGACCGATCGTTCCTATGGCAGCTATATGATATAGTGGTCCGATGCAGCTGGTTTTGACAAATGAACTGCGTGCAACAGAAAGAGGGAATTCTGCAAAGTTTCATAAAGATAGCTTTAAAACTGAGAGACTAGTTCGCATAGAAACAGACAGACGGACAGACGGACATGGCTATATCAACTCGGCTGTTGATACTGATCAAGAATATATATACTTTATGGGGTCGGAGATGTCTCCTTCTATGCGGTACACATTTCACGA